AGGGCCTGGCCAGGGCCCCTTTGGGCTCTCCGCCTGCCGGGCAAGCAGGCGGCAAGCCGGGGGGGCCTTCCGTGCTGCAGTTGCTGGAGCGGTTCGAGAGGTGAGGGCCGCCGCTGCCGCCCCGCCTTCCTGCTCACGCCGCTGCGCCTGCCCTCTGCCCCGACCCGCCCTCCCCAGCACCCGCCTGCGCAGGTGCGATAAGGAGCTGGCGCGGCTGCAGCACCAGGTGGACCTCAAGGCGGAGCGGCTGCGGCGGGAGGTGGGGGCTGAGGAGGGGGCCTACCGGGGGCAGGTGGCGGGGCTAGAAGCGCAGTGGGGCGAGGCCCGCGGCGCCTTTGCAGACCTGGAGGGCCGCATGAACCGCGTCACGCAGGCGGCCGCCAAGATCGGCAACCGACTGCAGGTAGGGCGGTGGCGGGCGGGCAGGGGCGGCAGGCAGGGGAGAGTTGGCTCGCCGCCCGCTCTCCAGAGCACCGGCTTGCGTCCCGCCACATATCCCGCACATCTGACAGACCCCCCAGCCTGGCCCCACGCTTGCTGCCCGCCGCTCCTCACCCCTGACCCGTACCGCAGAATGCCGACCTGTACCGCCGGCGGGCGCTGGACGCCGTGGAGGCCATCAACCGGCTGCAGGAGTTTGCCCACGCGCGCGACCCCTCCCACCTGTCCCCCCTCTTCCACGACGATGCGCGCCTGGCGGAGGCGGTGGTGAGGCGCGCGGCGACCGCGTGCGCTGCTGCTGCTGCTGCTGCTGCTGTGACTGTGCTGTGGGCTGCTGCTGCTGCGCCGCCGTATGGTCGTCCCCGGCTGTGCCAGCATCGTTCCTCCTGTGCGCTTGCGCGCTGCTCCCGGCTCCCGGCTCCCCAAGTGCCCGTTGCCCGCCCCTGCCGCTGCGCCTGCCCCCCGCAGGCCATGACTGGCAAGCTGCTGGCGGTGTCTCAGGAGCTGATCAGCTCAAGGGAGCGGGTGGGGCTGGCGGGGCCGAGGCCGCGAGCCAACGTGGCGCCGGAAGTGGTGCGTCGTGGGGTGGTGGGGCTGTGTGTGGTGTGATGGGTGTGCAGGAGGGCTGGGCGGGCGTGGCCCAGTGGTGCATGCAGCCGCGTGTAGGATTGCTGCCGTGCTGCCGCCATGGACGGCGCGCATGCCGCCGCGAGCGGCTCCCCGCGGCGCCGCTTGCCCCCGCTGCCGTCTGCGCGCCACCCGGCCGTGTGCGCCGCCGGGGTGCAGGGCACGATAGAGAATGCTGTGGAGCAGCTGGAGCTGTACCGCAACCTGCTGGACAACAGGGTGGTGTCCCGCTTTGATGCGGCGCTGGCGCGCCACGACCTGCCCGCCATGGCAGACTGCGCGCGCACCATGGCGGAGTTCAGGTGTGTGCATGTGGGTGTGTGTATGTGAAGCTTCTTTGTTTGTGGTGAAGCCGCGGGGCGGTCCCTGAGTGGATGCGACGCCGCTGGGTGGGCACCGCCGTCCCCGCCCCGCCTCCTGCGCAGGCGCGGCGAGTCTCTGCTGGTGCAGCGCTACATCTCCACCCGCCCCATGTTCACCAGCCTGCGGGAGCTGCAGTTTGCGGCGGCGCAGCAGCAGGCGCAGGCGGCGGCGGCGGCGGCGGCGGCCGCGGGCGGGCTGGCCGCGGTGCAGGCGGCGGCGGAGGAGGGCGGCGAGGCGGCGGCCGCCGACCTGGCTTCCCTCCGCTCCCTCAGCAGCTTCTACAAGAGCATCCTGGCTGCCATGCGGGACGAGGCGGTGGTGATAGAGCAGGTGTGTGTATGTGTGTGTGGGGGGGGCAGCCTGGGGCAAGGGGCTGAGCGCCAGCTGGGGCAGCCCTGGGCGCCCGCTGGGGATGCCACATGCTGCCGCTCCGCCACACCTCGCCGCCCCGGCCGCCGCCGCCGCCGCCCGCAGGTGTTCCCCTCCCCGTACCGCGCCCTGGGGCAGTACATCCAGCGCGTGTTTGAGCAGAAGGTGCAGACGGCGGTGGATGCGGTGCTGCAGCCGCCACCGGCGGGGGCGGGAGCGGGCGTGCTGCGCGCCAAGCTGCGCCTCATGGCGGAGGTGTACCGCAAGACCCGGGCGCTGGCTGACGACCTGCAGGTGCGGCGCTGTGTGGTGCAGGAGAGCGGTGGCTGGCTGTGGTGGCTGTGGTGGCGGGTGTGCAGCTGTGGTGGCTGGTGGCTGGTGGGTGGCTGTGGTGGCTGGTGGCTTGGCTGGTGGCTGCNAGCGTCGCGCCCTGCGCCGCCTGTCTCGTCTTGCTTTCAAGGCGTGTGCAAGAGGCAGGCAGGCCCACCCCCCTCTCTCACCGCTGCATCCGCTCAGGAGCTCTCCGGCGGCGAGGAGGGTGCTCCGGGCGGCGAAAAAAAAACGGCCACGACCTGTCCGAGGGCGTGTGCGCCGACGCGCTGGCCGCCTACCTGCCCATGGAGCAGCGCTGGCTGCGCGCGCTGCACGAGGCGCGGCTGGCGGCGCACCGCGGCGGCGGGCGGGGGCTGTGCATGGAGGATGTGCTGGGGCTGCTGGCCATGAACGAGGAGGTGGGTGTGTGGGGGGGGGTGGGGGGTGGGGGTGTGGGTGTGAGGCAGGGGGAGTTGGAGAGCGCGTGTGTGTGTGTGCTTGCACGTGTGTGCAGTGTGTGTGTGTGTGCAGTGTGTGTGCATGTGCGGTGTGTCGTGCCGTAAGTGGAGAGGGGCTTGGCGTCCCAGCAGGTGGCCGGCGGGAGGGCGGGCGGCCGCGCTGCACGCTGCCCTGCGCCTGGCTGCTTGCCCACCCCGCCGCACACGCACACACCCCAACGCTGCCCCGCTGCAGGCCGTCGGCCGCTGCGCGCTGCTCAGCCCGCCCGCCCAGCTGGCGCCCTCTGTGCGCTGCCTGTTCCACTGCCCCCCGCGCGCCCAGGGCGCCACCGGGTGCCTACTGGAGCAGGTGGCGGCGCATGTGCTGCTGGGGCTGGGCCTGGCGGCGGACGCGTGCGCCAGGGCGCTGCAGGGGCCCTTCAGGCCGCAGGAGCTGCTGGGCCAGGAGCGGGCGGCGGCGGCGGCGGCGGCAGCCAAGGCGGGGCCCGCTGCCGCGGGGGCCAGTTCGGGCGCCACGGCCGCGCCCTCGGCGCAGCCGGCAGGCCAGCAGCAGCAGCAGGGGCAGGGTCCGGGGCTGCCCGCCGTCCCGCCGTCCCGCCAGGACCTGCAGCGGGCGGCGGCGCTGGGCGTGGGCGGCAGCCTGGGCGCCCTGCTGCAGGCTGTGTCCACTGCGGGGGCCATGGTCAGCCTGGTGCAGCAGCACTACGAGCGGGTGGTGCAGCCGCATCTGGCGGGCAGCGGCGGCGAGGCGCGGGCGTGCGTGGCGGGGCTGGCGGCGCTGGTGCGAGCGGTGGAGGAGCGGGTGGCGGGCGCGCTGCAGCGCTGCCTGGCGGCGCTGCTGGCCCAGGCGGACGCCACGCTGGCGCAGCACGCGCAGCAGCAGCGCGCCGACTTCTGCCCGC